CCGTTGCCGGGGACCTAACGGTGTTATTTATTACAACTTAGAAGTAGTGTTAGAATTATTAGTTTAAATCAATTTTCGAAGGTGTTAAACAATCTTTTCATTGAAATTCTCATGTTTGAACTTTTGTGGAATTCAGATGTATGCCTAAAATTTCTTCGAGGACTGGAGAACTGCTAGAAGGTCTCTCAGACCCCGAGAAAACATTCAGGGCATTGAACCGTGCCAACAATAGGATCCAACAATCACAATTACCACGCCAGCTTTAATTTGACATAGGTGATGAAGAAAATGTCAATGGAAATGTCGGGGATGTGCCAGCTCCCCCAAACGTTAGAGTAGTGGCACCTTTTGTGCTAGAAGTTGCACTTTATGATTAGGTACAACCTACAGCTAACAACCTGGCTACTGCTATATCTGTGCCCCCAATTCAAGCGGAGACATTCCAGATTACTAACAACATGCTGCATCTTCTGCAGAATAATGGATTGTTCTCGGGGTCACACATAGAAGACCCTCAACAACACTTGAAAATTTTTCAGTCAATTTGTGTGACCAAAAGGCAGCCTAATGTGACCCCGGAAGCTATCAAGGTGCTACTGTTCCCGTTCTCTATGACTGGGGAAGCACAGACTTGGCTGAATTCGCTCCCAATCAATTCTATTGCCACCTGGGAGGAATTAGTCAAGCAGTCCCTGAATAAGTTCTACCTGCCCAACAAGACTGCAAGGCAGTTTGATGAAATATTACAGTACAAGCAGTAGTCGACCGAGACCTTGTAGGAAACTTGGGAAAGATTCAAAGGGATGCTAGTGAAGTATCCTCACCATGGTATTCTAGAGCAGATGCTCGGTCAGAGGTTCTACATGGGGTTAGCTGACAATCTAAAGGTCAATGTGAATGCTTCAGCTGGAGGTGCATTTTTGAGTAAGACATTCACCGAGTGCAAAGTCCTTCTTGACAAGATGTCCCAGAATTCGTGGTGGATGACTAGAGGTACAACACTGGCACCCATAGTACATTCAGTTCCTCTTGACCCGAACAATTCGCATGTAGAGAACATGGCTACACTCATGACTTAGATGAGTATATTGACAAAGAAGATTGATGAGATGGGTACAAAATAGGTACATATTGTTGATACAACAAATGAAGGACTGTGTACACCCCGTGTTAATCAGTCTTATGTGTGCTCACAGAGTGGAGAAAGTGACAATCAAGGGGTAAGAGAATATATGAATTATGTCAACAACTTTGGGGGTCAGAGACAAGGAGGACAATAGTGGAGACCGGCACCAAATCAGCAATACAGGCCAAATATGCAACAACCTGGAGGTATGCAACCCCAAGGCCAAATGGTGCCATACCAGAGACAATAGGGCTATCCATAACAGAACCAACAACAGTTGACATATCAGCCACCTCCTTAGCAACAAGATAACAACATGGTAGAGATCAGGGGTATGCTTCAGTAACTCATTGGGACAAATGGCAAAATGTAGGAAAAGTTGGCAGTGCATGATTCAGCTATAAAGAACATTAAAACTCAGTTGGGGCAGCTGTCTATGGCTTTAAACAACCTCCCCCAGGGAACATTGCCAGCGGACATAAACATCAACCCCAAGGAGCAAAACCCGAATTAGCTTATGGCCGTAAGTCTCTGGAATGGGAGAGATTTAGACAAAGAGCAGGAAGTTGCACAAGCCAGTAAAGAGACTACGCCAGCCACTCCAGTTCCACTAGAGGTAGATGAACCATCAGAACTTACTGAAGTGGTGGTTGAACATGGTCAGGATGAAAAGGGTAAGGCTAAGGTGAGTGAACAAGCTGCAGAACAGGTGGTACCTCTTGTGCCATAGAACCCTAACTAAGATAAGCTAGCAAGCAATGCACAAAGGGTGATTCCTGCACCATTCCCTCATATACTGGCAAAACAAAAGAAGGAAGATCAATACAGGAAATTCATGGAGATGCTGCGTCAAATTCAGTTGAATATTCCTTTGATGGATGCCTTGAGGGAGATGCCAAGCTATACGAAGATGATGAAGGACCTAATGTCACGAAAGTTTGATTTTCAGGATCTATCCACAGTGACTCTTACGCATACCTGCATCGCAGTAGTGACAAGACCCATGGCTCAAAATATGTCTGACTCAGGTAGCTTTACTATTCCATGCACTATTGGGATTTATGCCTTTGCAAAGGCATTATGTGCCTTAGGAGCCAACATAAATTTGATGCCTCTGGCTATATACACCAAACTGGGCATTGGCAGAGCTAGACCGACTTCGATGTTGTTGCAACTGGCTGATCGCACGGTTAAAAGACCAACTGGGATTCTTGATGATATGTTGGTACAAGTGGGGAAGTTTGTGTTCCCTACAGACTTTGTTATTCTGGATTGTCAGTTAGATGAGGAGATATCGATCATTTTAGGGAGGCCATTCTTAGCCATTGGGAGAGCACTGATTGATTGTGAGATAGGGGAATTAAAAATGAGGCTGAACGATGAAGAAGTCATATTCAATGTTCAGCAATCCATGAGGAGACCTAGTGAATATGCTAATTGCTCCTTAGTGGAGGCAGTGGATGTGATCCTGCACGAAGATGATGTGACCCTGACTGCTAAAGATCCATTGGAGGCATGCCTGACAAATTTAGAGGAGATGGATAGTGAAGGGTTAGCTGAGTGGGTCATGGCACTTGAAGGCCAAGGATTCTGGAAAAGGGAACCTCAGTTCGAGTCCCTTGAGTTAGAAAAAAGGGCTACACCTCCAGCAAAACCGTCAGTAGAGGAAACACCCAAGATGGAGCTGAAAACGCTCCCAACTCACCTTAGGTACATTTTCTTAGGCCCTGATTCTACTTTGCCTATCATTATATCATCTGATTTGCTAGATGTGCAGGTAGAGCAGCTCCTACAGGTACTACAAAAATGTAAGACTGCCATTGGCTGGACCATGGCAGACATAAAGGGTATCAGCTCAGCCTTCTGTATGCACAAGATTCTCTTGGAAAAAGGGCACAAACCTTTCAGAGAACATCAACGAAGGCTGAAGTCGAATATGAAAGAGGTGGTGAAGAAGGAAGTGATCAAATGGTTAGATGCAAGAGTCATATTCCCCATCTCTGACAATAATTGGGTCAACCCTGTCCAATATGTGTCGAAAAAGGGGGGAATGAAGGTTGTCCAAAATGAGAACAACGAGTTGATCTCATTTTCGTACAGTCACGGGATGGTGGATTTGCATGGATTACTAGAAATTAAACATAGCCATCCAGAAGGACCACTTCCCCTTGCCATTCATTGACCAAATGTTGGACAGGCTGGCCGGGTGATCGCACTTTTGTTTCTTGGATGGATATTTGGGGTACAATCAGATCTCAATAGCCCCCGAAGACAGAGAGAAAACATCATTCACTTGTCAGTATGACATCTTCGCCTTTAGGAGAATGCCTTTTGGGCTTTGCAATGCATCGACGATATTTCAACGGTGCATGTTAGCCATTTTCATAGACACAGTGGAGGACATTATGGAGGTTTTTATGGATGAATTCTCCGTGGTGGGGGATTCATTCAAGGGCTATCTTCACAACTTAAGAAGAGTTCTCAAAATATGTGTGGAGACAAACTTAGTGTTGAACTGGGAGAAGTGCCATTTTATGGTATAAGAAGGGATAGTCCTGGGGCATCGAGTGTCCAGTAAGGGAATTGAGGTTGACCATGCTAAGGTTGACGTGAATGAGAAGTTGTCACTGCCTACTTCAGTCAAGGCGGTGAGAAGTTTCCTTGGGCACGTCGGGTTCTACATGTGATTCATAAAAGATTTCTCTAAAATTGCTAACCCGTTATGTAAACTCCTTGAAAAGGATCACCCCTTTGTATTTTTCTATTAATTGCAGGTTGGCATTTAAGGAGTTGAAGAAGAGAATGGTGACTACACCCGTCATTGTTGCACCCAATTGGGAGCAACTATTTGAGCTCATATGTGATCTAAGCGATTATGCTATAGAAGCAGTTTTGGGTAGAGAAAAGATAAACTGATGCACCTGATTTACTATGCAAGCAGAACGCTGAGCGGTGCACAACTCAACTACACCATGACGGGAAAGGAGATGTTGGCTGTCGTTTTTGCATTTGACAAATTCATACTTGATTCGCTCAAAAGTTATTGTTTACACTGACCATGCAGCAATTAGGTACCTGATAGAAAAGAAGGAGTCAAAGCCACGCTTGATTCGCTGGGTTCTTCTGTTACAAAAATTCGATCTAGAGATACTTGAAAGAAAAGTGACAGAGAACTAAGTGGCTGACCACCTCTCAATGTTGGAAGGAGCTGAAAAGAAGGTAGAGGTTGAGGATATAATTGAGGCATTCCCGGATGAACACTTACTAGCAATGACAATGGAGGAGGCACCGTGGTGTGCTGACATTGCTAATTATTTAGTAAGTGGTATTGTACCTTATGAACTCTCCTCAATTCAAAAGAAAAAATTCTTTCGTGATTGTCGGTCTTATTATTGGGATGAGCCTCTATTATTTAAAATCTGTGTAGATAACATGATCCGGCGGCGTATCCCCGAGAAAGATCAAAATTCTGTTTTGCAGGCTTGTCATGCCTCACCATATGGTAGACACTTTGGAGGAATTCGGACAACAGCTAAGGTGTCGGAGTCGGGCTTGTATTGGCCAACTCTATTCAAGGATGCCCATGCTTGGGTCAAAAGTTGCGATGAATGCCAAAGGACAGGTAACATATCTCGGAGACACGAGATGCCAATGACCACAATTCAAGAGGTGGAGGTTTTTGACATGTGGGGGATCTACTTCATGGGGCCATTTGTCAGCTCGTATGGTAACAAGTACATATTGGTAGCAGTTGACTACATCTCCAAGTGGGTCGAAGCAATTTCCCTCCCGACCAATGATGCTAAAGGGGTAATAGGCTTTCTCAAGAAGAATATTTTCACACGTTTTGGCACCCCAAGAGCTATACTCAATGATGGCGGAACACACTTTTGCAATAGAGCGTTTGCACGGCTGTTGGAAAAGTATGGAGTTCGTCATAAGGTGACCACCCTGTACCACCCACAGTCGAGCGGGCAAGTCGAAGTGTCCAACAGGGAGATTAAAAGTGTCCTTACAAAATAGTGAATGCAACAAGGACTGATTGGGCAAGGAAGCTGGATGATGCATATTGGGCATACCGCACAGCCTTTAAAACTCTAATTGGTATGTCACCGTACAAGTTGGTATTTGGAAAGGCATGCCACCTCTCGGTGGATCTTGAGCACAAAGCACTTGGGGCATTGTGGCAGTTGAACTTGGACATGGAGACAGTAGACACTAACAGAGTCACTAGGTTACATGAGCTAGAGGAATTCAGGTTCCAAGCATTTGAGAGTGCTAGATTATACAAACAACGGATGAAACTGATGCATGACAAGCACATTGTGGACCAAAACTTCAAATCCGGAGAGTTGGTGTTGTTATACAACTCCAAATTGAGATTGTTTCTGGGTAAGTTGAAGTCCCGATGGTCAGGACCCTTTAGAGTGGTGCAAATGTTCCCAAGTGGAGCTGTCGAGATTGAATCAGAGGATGGGACGAATAAGTTCACAGTGAATGGTCAAAAGTTGAAACATTACCTTGGAATGGCAAATGAGAAAGGGGACAGAGAGATAACAATGTTGGACGAGCCCCAATACGTGAATGAGGAGTGATACTCCGAGCCTATGTCATGCCGCAACGTTAAATCAGGCACTGCGTGGGAGGCAACCCACGAATGTTGTAGTTTGTGTTCTTATGTAACTTCTCATTATAAAAAAATAATAATAAAAACTGGGCAGCACCGCGACTGCGGCGCGACCGCAGTAGGATCGCGGTGAGAGGCGAGCATTCTGCCTCAAGAACATCAACCCAGGTACCAGGTAAGTTTTTTTTTATTTTTTCCGTTTTCTTTATTTTTCCTCTTCTTTTATTTTATTTTTCTAACCCCTAATTAAACAACCCCACCCGCCTAACCCCCATAATTCCCCCATCTCCCCCCTCTCTCTAAACCCTAACTCCCAAATCCCTCCTCTCTTCTTCTTCTTCTTTTTCTTCTTCTTCTTCTTCTTCTTCTTCTTCTTCTTCACTCCTCATACTTCCCCCATCCCCACTTCTCTCATTCTCTCTTCCATCAAGGTATGTCTCTTCTCCCTTACCTCATCTTTTGTATTTTATTTTAGTTTTTATGTAGTTTAACATTGTGATGGTGTAGTATTTCTAGTAGATTTCTTTTTAGTTCTTTTTCTTTTGAATTGTGTCTTGGTGGGTGCTTGTTAAGGGATTATATGTATAATGTGGTGGAGAGGTGTATGCTTGTGGGTGTTGAACTAATTGTTGTGGGGGGATTGGTGTAGTACCACTTTTGATTTGGGGGAAGCTTTAATATATCCATATGGGCTATATGTGTTAAGAAATTGTTTTGCCCACAAGGTGTTTGTGGACTTGCCTCAATGAAGATATAAAGGCTAATGTGACATGGTTTTGGTCAAGTCTGAGTAATCACTCATAGTTCACGCATCTCACACCCTCACTAATTGGCATTTCTTTGTTTGACAACACTAGGTTTGTCTCCAAACCGGCAGAGGACAGGTACAATGCAAAGACGGCTAAGAAGTTGTTACATGAGGTGCATATCGACCGAGAATCCTTGGAAGTGGAATGCCCGAATATCTTTAATGAGTTGAGGAGGTGTCAGTTGTACATATTATTTGAGGAACCGGAGGAGGCCAATGTTCAGATGGTAAGGGAATTCTATGCTAACTGCCTGGAACATGAGAATGGGGTTGTTATTGTACGCAATACCCGGGTAAATGTGTCCATCGAGGCCATCCGCATGGTGTACCGGCTTCCAGTATTCAGGGGGGAATCTAATGTTTATCGTACTTATAGCCGAACAAGTGCCTTGTGGGCAACTCTTCTTGAAATTATCTATGTCCCAAACAGAGAATACATATGGATAAAGCTCTGGATCACACTTAACTCCCAATCTCTCAATTGGGAGGCTAAGTGTTGGCTCACAATTATCAACAGTTGGTTGTTGCCCTCCAGCAATACGACCGATATCAATCAACCATGAGCGGCGACGATCTACTGTTTTATGGCCCACAGGGATTTTGATGTGGCCTGGCTCCTCCATGACGAGATGTTCATTAGATCACCTGAGTTACTCAAAGTCTTCTACTTCCCTTCTCTAGTCACCAAGTTGTGCCGTCTTGCTAGAGTCCCTGAAAACTTTAGAGTTGATAGGAAATTGCCACTGAAAGCCCTTTCCTGGCAAGAAAAATCAGAATTGGGATAGAGCCAGTGGTGAATGTTGTTGAATCGGATGATGATGATGCTGAGACAGCTGAGGTCCCACCACCTAGGAGAGTTGAGGAGGCGGGCACATCACAGCCCCGCCGAAGTACCCGCATGACAGCTCTGTAGCAGGAAATGGCTGGTCTCCGCACTTCTGTCACAGACTTGGGCACCAGAGTTGACACTCTAACCACTTAACAGACAAAGTCGGAAAAGAAGATTATGGGATGGCTTCGAGCGCTAGGACGAGCATGTCACCTTGATCCTGGCATCGTCTCTGATGAGGATTGATCTTCAGGGAAGTCCTCCTTCCTTACTCTGCTCTTTATTTGTTGACATGGGGACATGCCATATTTTAAGTGTGGGGTGGGGGATGGCTGTTGTTGTATGATGTTGTTGTAAATAGATTGTGTAACTTTGTATGATATGCGTTATTTTTGTTTTATTGGTATGGTAGGGTCATGTAATTAACTTCGACTTGGCCCAAAGACGAACACCTTTCGACAGGTCTCTTGAGGGATATGAGTCGAACAAAAAAAAGAGAATATAAGGACTCTTCACGATGACGGATATTTGAGACAATTTCTTGAGTGAAGTTAGTCTAGAGAAAATGCCAAAAAGATTTTTTATTTTATTTTTAGGTAGTGTAGTAACTCCCCCTTGGTTTTTCTTTGGACCATGATTCTTTTCTAAGGGTTTAGCTTGAACAGGGTGTAGGTAGTTCTTGTTTATTTTGTTTTTAGTTTAGTTAGCATTGATGGGCTACGAGCTGAAATAGAAAGAAAATCCCTTGGCGTTAATACACCCGAACACAATCGACACTAAAGTGTAACACCTAGTCTCAATGGTTGAATCTTGCTAAAGTGCTTTAAAGTTGTATGTTTGTAACTGACTTGAACACTCAAAATAGAATGTCTTGATAAATTAATCCGGAGTGAGTCGTATGCCATGTGTGTGTGAGCTATACTGTATTCCATGCTTTACATTTGATGCCTAGAACTTGCCCTGTGTGTTTGCAAAGCGAAATAGTAGCTTCATTCAGTCTTAGAAGTGATATAGACATTTTTTTGTTAAGCTAGATATATAACGTAAACCCACCTGAATGTAATACATCGTAGTTAACCCTGTTGAGCCTATAAGTTTGTTTCTTTGGCAACCGCATTGCGAACCTTACCCAATTGTTTGGATAGCCTTATGTTTGAACCCTTTTACCTCCCATGAGCACTTGAATGGCCTTGACATATGCAAAAGTAAAAGTGTGGGGTGGTGGTTTGGTTTTGAGTGGAGCCAATCAAATAGAGGAAATGTGCAGTTTTGGAGAGTAAAAGAAAAAGCGTCACGACAAAAAATTTGTGAATAAATGTAATAGTTGATAAGTGGTAGCTTAATACAAATGCACATAAAGGAATGGGATGTTATAAATAAAATGTGGGGAAAGTCTGGTTGACATAAGAATGATATGGAATGTTAAGGTGTTTTGTATTAAAAGTGCTTAGGGAGATTAGTCACTATATCCAAATATATCGTACCCATCCCTTAGCCTACATAACAACCAAATGAAGTCCTAATTGATCTTAGACTGGATAGACTCGATTAGTAGAGTATTACACTACGGGCAAGCCTATGGTGCATCTTTGTGACATGCGAATGTTCTTTTGGAGAGTGAGCGAATTTTGTCCATCTAAGTTCCTAATTGTTTTTAATCGTATTATTTATGGAACTACACTCTCGTGTGATGTGAGGGCATGTGATTCTCAAAAGAAAGGTAAGTCTTCACTTCTGTATAGAGTAGTTTGAGTAAGTGCGAATATTGCATGGTACGAGAGATTCAACTTCTGAGGCAAGGGTTGTTCACTACTAGGTGCAACTTTGGTAAATTGTTAAAGGTGTGATTCGTTAAGGGAAAAGCTTAGGGAAGGAACTTTGATAGAGTGTGGTGCATTTCTCAAGGACTAGCAATGATTTAAGTGTGGGGTATTGATATTAGACTATATAGATGATATTTAGACCTTAATATTACCATGCTTTATTGTTGTTTTATAGGCGAATTGATAACAAAATGCTCTAATTGGTATTCTTTTGCTTTGCAAGGAATAATCTTAGTGAGGAAGCACTACAGAGTGTTTTGGAGTCAATAATGTGAAGAAAACGTCCAATCAAAAAGTACCCGAGCATAAATAAGCAAAAAATGGACTAAGGTGAAATCCACCACGACCGCGGTGGAACCACGGTTGAATCGCGGCAGACAATTACGCAAGGCAGAATGTTCAGCCTTTACCGCGGCCTTGCCGCGGCCGCGGTGAACTTTTCAATTGCCAGGAAATTGGGGACCAAAGAGTAATTCAGGGAAAACTTGTTCCAAACCCTTATAAACTTTAAAAGCTCGCCCAAGAGGGAATTAAGCTTGTTTTTAGACTACTTTTGAGGCAAGAACAAGTGTGAGAAGATCAACCAAACATTAGAGCTATTTTATCTCCTTTTAGTTCTTGCAATTATATATTATGAACAACTTTGTAGTTTTATTTTATTGTGTTATGAGTAGCTAAACAATTATCTAGGGTTGATGGAACCAAGTGTTGGTTGAAGTTTTGACTCAACTTGTTATAATCGAGCCGTTTATTATATGATTGTTCAACTACATTTTGTATGGTGATTGATTTAATGGGCCCTTGATTAATCATGTCTAATTACCTCATATTGCTTGAGAAAGAATATTAGGTTAGACTGCTGTTGAACAACACCACTTTTGGGTAATTGAAGAGATTCATTACTTGAATTTAAAAGTGGGTTTAGAGATAACGAAACTTTGGCGGGATAATTTAGAGCTGCACATATTGTCAGCTAGAGTAGTTTGAGAGAATGCTCTAGTAACTTATTGTAGTTGATCGAGAGATAATTACGATAACCCATAGCTCTTAATCCTCATAGAGTATTACAGCGAAATTATAGCGAAAGAGTCAAGACCGAAGCTAGTAATTGGGGAAATCACTGCCCTAGACCTTTTTACCATTGAATTATCTTTAAATCTAGAATATTGTTATTTCTAATATTATTTGAAGTAGTTAAACAAAAACCCAAGATTGATTGATAAAAAATCTTGCATCTAGAAATTGGTTGAGTTGATAATAACATTGCCAAAGAGTTGTAATAGATAGGTTAGTTCCCTGAGGATTCGACTCTGGACTTAAACCGGAATATATTTGCAACGACTGCTTTGTCCTTTAGAAGGCATAGTTTGACGTGATCACATGACATCAGATATTCAGAGTTCCTTAGTCCCAAGTTGGTACGCAAGGATAGGTGAGGCACCGGGTGCTGGTTTTGCCCCAAGTTTTGGGGCATGACAGCTAGCTCCATTGGGTGATTTTAGACTTAG